GACCAGTGAGTGGCATGGCTGATTCCAGCTCTATTAGCATTGGAACCTGTAAGCTGGTGAAAGAAGTGCAGAGAGCCAAAGTGCAAGTATTTGCTCAGCCTTTGTGCGGAGAGGTCATCACATAGTGTGAAGAAATATGCACAGTGCTCAGCATTTCTGCCTGAACAGTGAGCACTGCTGTGTAGGGAGAAGTGGATGTGTGATAGGACAGGGCCGAGCATAGGGGCTTAAGTGCTTCCCAAGAAATGTAAATGATATGGGCAAGAGCCATTTTTAGGAGTGTCCATTAATCCTACTGCCAATCAGATGCAGTGTCTTATTCAAATAACCTTCAGGTACCAGATACCAAGGTGATGAGTGTAATGTAGATAGATGAGCTCCGTGAAGGAGAAATTAATAACTGAGGCAACCCTGGGGTTCAGACATAGAAATACTTCTGAAGGTTCCCAAGGATGGCAGAGCCCGCCCAAAAGTGTGTGTGTGGGTTGGGGGGGGGGGCAGGGCCCAAGTGCCCCATCTCTTCCGCCCATGGTCAAGCTGCAAGCTGGGGGGGGGGTGTCAAGAGCGGCCCCTGGACCGTGTCCTCACCCTACAGGCCCCCTGCCCAGGGCAAGTGGAGGTTCCACAGCGTGGCTCCCCACTCCTGCCTGCGCGGCTCTTACCATGGACAGGCTGCGGGCACCCCAGCCAGAGCCGGGACCAGGTAAGAGCCACGGGCAGTTGTGGGGAGCTGTAGCTCCTCCTGCTCTGGGCAGGGAGAGGGGTCAGAGACATTGCCTGGCTGGGGGAGGGCTCAGAGGGAAGAGGAAGGGTGGAGCACCTGCCGAACCAGGCCCATCCACTTTCAAAAAGTGGGAGGGCCATGGCCCCCTGGGCCCTCCTATTCCGGTGCCCCGAAGGTTCCCATGGCAAGTTACTCTCCCAGCCAGCTGCTTCATTCCTCATAACACATGCTGGGTACAATGCTGCTTTTAACCACTCTCTGTTCGCCTCAGCTGACCTTACTTGTTGGGTCATGAGTGACAGAGTCGTCTTACTGGCAACTCCTTGTTCTGCCCTCTTGTAAGACTGAGCCCTGGATTTATAGCAGTGCAACATTTATACACTCATGTTTTCCCCCTCAAAATAATCTTATTGCTATTGCAGGGGGTGGCATGGAACCGGCCAGCTAAATACAGAACTGTGGGAATCTTTTCTGGCTTAGATTCTGCTCTCAAGAAATCCACATTGCTGGTAAACATTAATCGCTTGGCAGTACAATGCTGGTGTCCTTAGAAGGGTAGTAAGGTGACGCAGATCCATCATCTTGTTCATCCCGGTAACGGTTAGAAAATGCGGCAAGTCACTTTCTGTGCTCTCAGTCCTGGGCCTTGCAACGGTCCAGTGATGTATCCTGGCAAGACTAAAAATGACCGAGTGTAACTGGGATAGTTTCGATTGCTAGACTAAACAGAGGATTATCAGCAAGTCTTTGCAGTTCAGTTCATTTTCTTTAATACACTATTCGCTGTGACAGTGCTGTTCTGGCTCTACTCCCTTCCCCTGCAATTTCCCGCCACTACAAAGCTCTTAAATGCCAATACTCTCAGAGCCAGATCATGAAACCCTTCCTCATCTGCTGACTTTCAAAGGGACAGCTTGTGTGAGTACCTGCTTTCCACTGGAGGTAAGGTGTTCACAATCTCAACCTTGGAATGTTACAGCTGTGATTTCCTAAGGAGCTTAAGGGAGTTAGGTGCCCAAATCCCAATGATATTTTGGCATCTAACTCTCTTAGGTTCTGTTGAGAATTCCAGCCTGCATGTTCAGAGGTTGTAAGGTGCTAAGATCCATCAACTTCCATTGACTTTATCTGAGGGAGTTCAAACGGCTCTCCACTTCCATTGATGTTAGTGGACTTGATGCCCTGCAGGAGTTGCTTTCACCAGCTTCCAGGTCAAACTTTTTTAAAGAAAAGCAGCAATAAACTATTCCTTCTATGCCAATGACGGCTTGGGCACAAATACGGTGTGAATGGAGCTCTGCTGATTTACGCCAGCTGAGGATCTGGCCCAGAAAAGGTGAGTACCATCTAATTTGTTCAGGAGGAAATAATCATTTTCTGGAAGCTTCCTAATGATCCTCTTATCCCCTAGAGGTGCTCTCTTCAGATCAGAAGTAAGACACATTGATGGGGCAGTGCTTGGAAGCACTGTGCAGTAACTGTTTTGAGGCTACAAAGATCTTCACTCTCCGCAGCTGTTAAGCCAGTACTTAATAACTGAGCACTAAAATCTACTTTTAAAATAGGAAAATCCCAGCACAAATGCACAATAAGTGCCAAAAGATGCAAAAAGAAAACATAACATCCAACTGGCTAAGGAAATTTCTCTCTGTAGCAATGCACCTGATTTTTCATCTTCACTCCTGCTGTAATATTTGAAGATCAGTTATATGGAGATTTAAGGTATATTTTTCTTTTAAGCAATTGCAGGATGGAGAAGAGCTGCCTCCAGATATCTGCCTCGGGATGTTTTAATGTTAGAATTTAAAATGTGCATCTCTCCAGTGTTTGCCTTCTTAAAATCATAACGGAACAAGTTGCTTGGCAATAATAGCTGAAATGTTACTAGGTAATTGAATGAGGTGGATGGGTGAATGGTTGCATCTAGTCAAATAAAGGGAAAAACTGAGGCTGAAGGGCATGAAAGAAAGGATTACGGAAACCATGCTGCAGAACTATGCAGCTTTTACTATACCTACAGGGTCGGCTCTGGCTTTTTGGCTGCCCCAAGCAAAAAAAAAAACAAAAAATCCTGCGGCGCGCCCGGAGCGCGGGTGCGAGGGGGACCGGCTGGAGGGGGAGTGGGG